CAACTCCAGCACCCCCAGAACCAGAGACCTGTACAGGGACAGTCGCAGGACCAACCTCCCGAGAGGGAGCACCTGCAGGAGGCGGCGAGGAAGACTGTGGGGAGGGAGGCTGTACAGGGGGGGCTACCGAAGGGGGAGGGCTAGCCTGAGACACACCAGACGGGGCTGGACCAGGGGGGGGAGGCTGTACCGGGGGAGCAGGCGGGGGAGCGGCGGTCAGGAAGAGAGGGGGGGGAGGGACCGGGAGACCTCGACTGGGGTACCTGACGTAGTAGGGGGTGGACTCCTCGAAACGGACGTCACGGGAGTCAAAGAACCGGTGAGAGGGAGGGTGGTAAAAGGTGAAGTCAGAGGAGTCCTCAGGGAAACCAAGGAAGACACAAGGAACGGCGCGAGGCGAGAGCTTGTCCGCGGAGGTGTCGCGGACAAGAGCCAAGCACCCCCAGACACGAAACCTCGACGCGACACCAGGGGACCCTGTCGGTGAAGCCTCCGGCCGAGAGACGCGTGGCCAGAGGTTCAGCTGGTGCGCGGCGTACCTGACCGCGTATGGCCACAGGAAATGGGGGGCACGGGCGTGAGTCAAGGAGGTGCGGGCAATCTCCATGACCAGGCCTATGCGACGCTCAGCAACCCCATTCTGCTGTGGGGACTCCGGAAGCGTCCAGGACTGACGAATGCCCTGTTCGCGACAGAATCCAGCGAGAATGCCGGAGCGAAACTCGCCCCCGCGGTCGGAGTGGAGACAGCTGACACGACGACCACGAGTGTCCTGGGTGGTAAGCAACCACCTGATCAGCGTAGAAGTCACCTCAGACTTCCTCGCCAGGGGGAACACTGTGGTGTAGCGGGAGTAGTCGTCAACGACCACCAAAAAGAAACGCTCACGCTCAGGGCCAGGGCGAGGAGAGGGGCCCCAGACGTCCAAGTGCAGCGTCTCAAAAGGCTCGGTGGCCGGACGAAGGGAGGAGGAGTGAGGGGTGGCGCGCAGCCTACCCTCGACGCAAGGACCGCACGGTGGTGCAAGGGACGGCGGCAGCGACGGCAAGACACGCGGGAGACCTAAGACAAGACGCTGACGAGACATAGCGCGAAGACGAGGAGGAGAAGGGTGCCCCAGCCGGTGGTGCCACAAAACGGTGGGGTGGGCAAGCGACCGACAGGAGCACGACGCAGCGACCGGACTAGACGGAGGAACCTGACAAGACACAGCTACCTGGGGGGACGGAGCAACCTGGTGAGACGCGAGGACTCGAACGGGAGGCAAAACAGGGGCCGGGGGCAGGAGGGGCGGCTGTGGCTGCGGCTGCTGCTGCTGCTGCAGTCGCTGCTGAGCGCGCGGGCGAGTGTGAAGAGTGTAGAGACCGGAGCCCGGCTCAGCAGCAAAAGTGGCGAGGGGCTGGTAAGAGTCCCCGTCAACACACACCGCAGTCTCTCCAGAAGGCTCAAACCACACACCCACGTGCTGACTCACGAGGGGTCGCACGCCCACCAAGTTCCGGGAGAACGAGGGGACGTGAAACCCAGTGAGAGACCCAGAAGGAGCAGCCGGACACGGCAAGGTGGTAGTGTGACGCGCGGTGACTGGTCCCGAAGTGGGATCAGCCAGCGCCACAGAAACAGGCGCAGGAAGAGGCGTAAGTGTCGTGCTGTCACGAAAGAAGCAGTGAGAAGCTCCAGAGTCCAGCGTGAACGACAGCGAACCGTCCTCTGAGGTAGCCGCTGGACTAGAGTCTACACAAGAACCTACACTAGCAACAGGCAACTGAGCAAGGCTAGCACCTAAGCTAACAACACCAGAGTAAGCAGAGTCAGAAACACTAGAGTCAACAACAGCATACATAGCATGGGGAGTACCAATGAGTTCAACTAACTGCTCAGCAGACGGGAGCGAGGGGAGGGAGAGGAGAGGGGATGAGCAGATGCCCACCCGAGCGCCCATGCCGTGCAGCGCATACGCCAGGTTCACCGCCACTGTTGCCTTGCCCACCTGCATGCCGTGACAGGGGGAAGGGGGAGAATGGGAGGGATGAGTGCGTGTAATGCGCCCATGCCGTGCAGCGCATATGCCAGGTTCAACAACGCCACTGTTGCCTTGCCCACCCCGCCCTGCTCTTGTATCATGCCGTGAGAGGGGAGGGGGGGAGAGGGGAGGGATGAGCGCACACGCATGCAAGGCACCCATGGCGTGCAACGCAGCGCGTACGCTAGGTTCAACACGCCTGTTGCTTTCCAAGGTGACTTTTGAGTCGACACAAAAGCGCACGCATGCAAGGCACCCATGGCGTGCAGCGCGAACGCTAGGTTCACCACGCCTGTTGCTTTCCCCACCCCGCCATGCATTCCCAAGCCATGCTGAGCCGCCTGGTGCCATCCCGTGCCAGCGCGATAAAAGTGCTGCTTTGAGACGTGCCGGTGCCATCCCATGCCCGCGGCAGATGGGCGACAGGGTTGGGCGGGAGAAGGGGGGTGGCAGGGGCAGGAACACTTTGACTTTTGAGTCAACTCAAAAGTCATACCATGCCCGGCGACAGATGGGCGACAGGGTTGGGCGGGAGAAGGGGGGTGGCAGGGGCATGAACAGCCTGGACAGAGGAGCAGTGCAGCGAGGGATGAGGGGGGGGGAAAGTGGGGAGGGGGGAGGGGAGGGAGGAGTGGGCGCAGTGCAGTGCAGTGCGCTCAATGGCAGTGAATGAGAGGCAAGGTGTGGGACAGGGAGGGGACTTTTGAGTTGAATCAAAAGTCACCTGAGCGCAGTGCAGTGCGGTTAATGGCAGTGAATGAGAGGCGAGGTGTGGGACAGAGAGGGGAGGCGCGAGGCACAGCCAGTGGCTCACCTTGCAGCTGGACACGGCAATGATGTTGGCCACTCTCTGCAGGCCACGTGGCACCTCCTCAGCCACGAGCGGCTTGGGCGGCTGGGCAGTCATGGTGAGAGCGACGGTCTTGACCCAAGGCAGCGACCCTACGTACTCACGTGCTTGTGCCTCGAACTGGAGGGAGGGGGTGGGAGGAAGGGAGGGAGGAGGGGTGGGAGTGAGAGGGAGAGAAACGAGCAGTGGCAGGCAAAGATGACTTGACCCACGGCAGAGACCCCACGTACTCGCGTGCTTGTGCCTTTAAGGGACGGGTGTAGGAGGAAGGGACATAGAGGGGCGAGAGGGAGGAGAATGGGCGGCAGGCATCGATGAATGGACCCACCACAGGGAGACGGGAGCTGCAGTCGCGTCAGTAGCGGCAGTGGCAAGTGAGGCAGTAAAGGTGGGTAACTGCGGGACTGTGCACCCGTGGAAGAGTGGGGGGGGCACAGCACCAGAGGCAGCGGCTACCGAGCGAAGGTTGCTCTCGACGTCCTTGAGTGCAGACTCAAGGACCTCGACGGTGAGCTCACTAGGGTGCTTCAGCAGAAGCGCGTCGCGAACGGAGGCAAGGCGGTCAGGGAGGCTAGTGGCGATGAAATAGATAGTAATCGCCATAGGGGGAGGAAGCAGTGCAAGCTGTGCCTCAGTGCAAGCAGCGCGGTAACTAGCGTCGAGCGAGCGGAGGTGAGCGATCAAGTCAGCAGAGCGCTCAAAAGACGCTAGGTCAGGAAACAGGAACGGGAGGAACAGGCGGCCAAGAGAGACAGCAGCGGGAGTAGAGTGTCGGGCCTTAATCGCAGTGAGGTACGCAGCAGCGGTGCGAACCTGAGTGAAGTGAACCTCCTCAGACTCAGGGAGGAGGCTGCTGAGCGCGATGCAGGCCGCAGCGTCACGTGACGTCCAAGCCGTCTGGTCAGCTCGCTGAGTGGCAAAGCGGGCTCTAGCGGCGTCGTCAGGGGCAGGTCCTAAAGGCGTAGGGTCGGGGGGCGCAGGTAGGGCACCAGTAGCGTGCGCCCAGAGGGTCTCGCCTGCCTGGACCTGACTCTCTAACAGGCGGCGAGCGCGAAGAAGCCAGACTGGGAAATCGAGCGGGCGACCGTCAGCATCGAAACGAAGGACGCGAGGGGTCGCCATAGTGTGCAAACGGAATTGGCAGGGAAAGCAGGGCGCAGCGGCAAGGGAGAACGGGCAGGAAGAGCGGGCAAGAGCGGGCGGGTAGGTCAGGTGTGGCGGGCGCGCGGGTAGGGCAAAGGCGCCGGGCCTGGGCGACGGGCTAGGGCGCGAGCCAGGGCGACGGGCTAGGGCGCGAGCTGGGGAGACGGGCAGCGGGGGGAAGCGCGGGTCGACGGGCAGCGGGGGGAAGCGCGGGTCGACGGGCGGCGGGGGAAGCGCGGGTCGACGGGCAGCGGGGGGAAGCGCGGGTCGACGGGCAGCGGGGGGAAGCGCGGGTCGACGGGCAGCGGGGGGAAGCGCGGGTCGACGGGCAGCGGGGGGAAGCGCGGGTCGACGGGCAGCGGGGGGAAGCGCGGGTCGACGAGCAACGGGGGGAAGCGCGGGTCGACGGGCAGCGGGGGGAAGCGCGGGTCGACGGGCAGCGGGGGGAAGCGCGGGTCGACGGGCAGCGGGGGGAAGCGCGGGTCGACGGGCAGCGGGGGGAAGCGCGGGTCGACGGGCAGCGGGGGGAAGCGCGGTTCGACGGGCATCAGGGGGGGAAAGCGCAGCGCGACCGGCAGCGGTACGCTAGATCGGGCTACGCTAGATCGGGAGGAAGAACGAGCGGTAACGAACGAACGGGACTAGATCGGGCCGGCACTAGGCTCGGGCAAGACGGGCGAAACGAGAGCTAGGATCAGGCTCGGGTGGTACGATCGGAGAACGGAGAAACGGGATCCCACAGGATCCTAACCTAACTGATACCCTGTCAGAATGAGGAATGAATGGTGCATTGATGTTGGTTGGGGTACATATAGCTAACCCTAAGTTTTGTACAACCTAAGACAAACCTCACTATAGGCTACAACATTTGACAGCTTACACTTAATAGCAATGCAAAGGCAATTACTGGACCATATACACCGTTTTCACTGCCTCCATTTAATATCAACAGCTTCTTTAAATCGGCCATGGCATATGTGCCCATCATGACACGATGTGAGCCCCAAACTCTCTCTTAAATACCCTATGTGGTGAGAGAACGTTGACCGATGGGTAACTATTGAAACCACAGCGTGCGCTGCCACTTAGCTTATCCACCATTGCTCGCTGAGCTGGTTGGACGTTCAACTGCTTGGGCAATCTAACAACCACAATCGACCATGCCTTTCCCCGTGCCCTTGCCAGTGATGCTTGCGACTGTAACTGCTCCTTGAAAACCTCCATCTCCTCAACAGAAGCATCGGAGGAAACAAAAAGGTTGGTCAGGTTTAACTGCTCCATTTTCGACGCAGTACATTCCGCAACTGCCTGTAACGGCCAGTACTGTACATCCATAATGTGGCTATGGCCGAGAAAATCCGTCCGTCGAAGGTGCAAAGAAGCGTAGTTCCCCCCAAAGTATTCCTCTATGAACCCTGCAGCCTGGTCAAGCACTTGCTGGGAAGGCTGGAAAAGCAGTTCGCACGGAGTATTGAAAAATCGGCTTGGCCAGAAGTATTCAGGACCTGGATCTCCAATCTTGGAGAATGAGAAGAAGAGGTCACCAAGAGCAAGCACAGGAACGTCAGCTGTTGCAGCAGCGATCTTGGGAACCAGGTCATAGAGATTACCACCCTCCTCCCCGAGAATCACTTTTTTTGAGAGTTTTATTTCAGGAGGGATGTCACCACAGCTTCCATCTATGAAGGTACAGCTGAATTGGACCTGACCGCAGAGGAATTTATCAACAACTAATTCGCTTCCCCCACCACCTCTTGAGCTCAAATATTCCGATCCCGAGATCACCTTGCGAAGAGCCCGGACATGCTTCGGCGAACCTGCTTCCGCGCCTGGCTCCTCCTGTTTCGGCTCGTCTCCGAAACACCGGGACAAGTGGCCAATGTCTAGGGTTTCAGAATACACCACCGGCCGACCGAGAGAGCGAGGGATGCAGAGAGGAACCTCAGGAATGAGCAGCGTGCGGTTTAGGAGAATTGCTGCCAGAATTGTCTTCTGAAGGCATAAGAGGCGATTCGTACTTCCCCCATTGGTGCAAGAAACCATAAGGTACCGGTTGGGTAATGGGACCCATTCCGGTGCCGCAGTGAGAGGTTTGGGTGTAGATGATGGAGAAGGGGGGAGCTTGACGCCAATGGGAGCGGCGCACGTGCCACCTGCGCGTTGTTGGTCATCCCGAACCTGCCTGTCTCGTAGGTTCTGGCCCGGGGTCTGGTTCGGAATTGATGCGCTGGAGTCTGGTCCGATTTCAGGCTTGGACGGAATGTCAGCTAGGGACGAATTCAGTAACCTCGGACTGGCAGTTTGCTGAAGGTGGACCACTGAGCTTGTATCGAGACTGGAAGGACCCTCTTGACGAGCATCCGCTGGCTGACGTGGACCGACCAGATCACTGACGGTCCGATCCAGCACGGGATCAGTGCCAAAAATTCCCAGCTTTTCCGAATGCGATGATTCAGAAGAATGAGGCGACTCGAAGGTGCTTGGAAGATCTGATTCTGATGACTCAGACAGCCCTGAGGGGCCTTGCAGTGATTGAGAAGAGTAGGCTGAGAGGTAAGCGACGCTGCAGGTGACGGCGGCGACGAGGAGGAGGTGGTAGTGCAGCTGGTGAAGCTGGGTGAGCAGATGCGACCGTTGCTGCTGCTGCGGCCGATGCGGTACGCCAAGGCGTAACGGGATGAAGGCAGACGACGACCTCATAGCGATGGATCGCCGCTGCTTACCACTTATTACCACAATCTACCAGAGATGACCACAAATTACCATACCACAACTACACGCGGACGCAAGCGTTTAACAATTGACACCCATTGACGAAGCGCATTTTGTTATTTCTGATTCTTCAGTGCAGACTATGACCCGCCCCGACCGATCGCGAAGATAGACCGCTGGAGTTATCCGAGCAGTTTTCGAGGTACCGTAGGCTCGTTATCGCGAAGGTTGCAAAAGCTACGTTATCTGATTCTGGCAGGTATCATCAGTCCATCTTGGTGTAGCTGATCAGCCTTCACGTATCGATGTTCAGACAGGTTAGAAACGGTTGACATCGTACTCCACCAGTTTTAGTCCCCCCACCCCAAACACAAGTGCACTTGCAAGTCTAGCCGCCCTTTTTTGCCAGATCTACTTTCAGGGCAGGTCCTACTCGTTTCGTTTCGGGGATACCACCATTGTAACAAAATGTTGACTGTCCGGAAGACAAACAGCCAATTCGAACCTAAACACGTCCAGCGTCAAGGCGATCCCAGGCAGGCACAGCACCTGCCCAAACGAACCGGTGTACCACCATCAACACGGACACAGCATCCCTCCTATATCAACAGAAGTTGGTGGGGGAAAAAATCATGCGTGCAATCGGCAGACTTCGTCAGGGGTTTCTGTGGGATGACACCGAGGAATCGGAACTCTTGCGAGACAGATTACTGTCTGACGAAGATAATCCAGTTCGCAATCACGAGTATCCTCTGTTACTGAGAAGCGTGAGCGAGAGAGTTTGATTTGCTCTTGCTTCCCAGTTCGCAAAAATTTCGGAATTTTTCGAGTTTGAAATGTGTTGTGGCATGAAACTGGTTTTGCATGTGGGAAAACCGAGCGCGTCATCCCGGCTGGTCTCAAGATTTGTCACGGTTACCCTACGGAAAAAAGGTTACTGCCCTGAGCTGTGATGAGTAGGACCCGCCCTCAGTTGTGTAAGGCAGCCACCCTCGATAAACGCAGGCTGTCGACATTGTCGATTCCGAACTTGAGATGTCGATAACAAGAAATCTTAAATTGTGGGTATGTGGACAAAGAGATGCAACTCTCATTGTCCAGTCCACACAATGTTCTTTGAAAAGTTCACGGGTTTCTTTGCAAGTGAACAAGAGCCCATCCATCCTCCTCCTCAATAAAGATTACTTTTGCATAAGGAGCGTACGCTGTAACTACCTGCTCCACCTGCCATGCATAGACAAGAAAAGCAGTGAAAGGTGGAAAAAGCAACATCTCCATAAGAAACCAATAGCCCCCCCATATCCATACAAGAGTGCTCCATTAACACAGGTACATAGGCTATCCAATTGACTAACATGCAAACCCAATGCAACCAGACAAGACCGTACCTGATTGGTCAATATGCCTGACAACCCGAGCTTCCCACCAGGCTTGGTTCTGGAAGAAATCCGCCCAGCCAATAGGAGAAGAGGGTTCACAAGGATGTTGGCGGCCACAACGTCAAACAGCACGCGTGGCTCCGACGAATCAGACACCGCCAGCTCAGCAGGCAGAGACGGCAACACCACGCCAGCACCAACACCGTCCCTACATTCCGTCGCACCAATTCCCCCTGCTCCATTACTATCAAACTCGTTAAGAGGATCCGGGCCATCCGGGTGTGTGAGAAGGACAGAGAACTGCGAAGAGGGGATGCTATTGAGGGATGCATTGTGGGCTGCTGCTGCCACTGAGAGCTCATCAATATCCACCCCCACCGCTGCTGCTGCTCCCATCTTGATCCCCGCAATCGCAAGAACGCCGGAGCCCGTGCCGTAGTCCAATAGCGTGCAGCCAGGTGTCACGACCGAGCGCAGCCAGCGCAGGCAGAGGCGGGTGGTGGGGTGGTCACCGGTGCCGAATGCGAGACCGGGCTCGAGTGTAATTGCAAGAGAGGGCTGGTCTTGTGAGACCTGGAAAGGGAAACAAAAGAGGATGAGGGTTTGCAGTGCTGGCAAGGCGGGTAGTGGGATGATCGCCGGTGCCAAATGCGAGACCGGGCTCGAGAGTTATGGCTAGAGAGGGGTGGTCTTGAGACTGGTTTTGTGAGACCTAGAAAGGTGGGGAGGCAGAACAGAGAGGTGAATTTGCAGCCGGCACAGGCAGAGACGCGTGGTGGGGTGACCTCCGGTGCCGAATACGAGAGCTGGCTTTAGTGTGATAGCCAGAGAGGGCTAGTCTTGATACTGGTCTTGTGAATTTTGAGTCCACCCAAAAGTCACCTAGTGTGATAGCCAGAGAGGGCTAGTCTTGATACTGGTCTTGTGCTACCTGAGAAGGGGTGGGAAGACGAAAGGGGGGAATTAACAGCGCAGGCAGCGGCGTGAGGTGCGGTGGTTACCAGTTTACGAAGGCGAGACCCGGCGCGAGAGTGATGGCCAGAGAGGGACGAGACTGCTCTTGAAATGGGAGGTGAAATGGGAGGCTTAGAGGGAGGTGAGATGAAAGGGGCTCCCTTCCTTGCGAGGGTTTTGAGTGGAGAGGGCTGACAGCAGGGTGAAGAAAAACAAGAGTACAATTCTGCACTGCAGACCATGCAAGGCCCAGGCTTGCAGGGCACAGGCTTCACAGAACCAAAGTCTCTTTTGAGAATTCTCAAGGCTCGAAGAAGGCTCGAAGAGCCGAAACTAGTTACCGCCACCTTTTCCTTTTCACAAGGGTTTTTACAAGCAAGCACAAAACTAAACTTAACAACAGTTTGCTAAACACAGCTGCTGCCACGCTACGCCATGCCTCCTACGTGGGGATCTATTGGTCTTTTGAGAATTCTCAAAACCATGCAGGGCCCAGGCTTGCAGGGCACAGGCTTCACAGAACCAAAGTCTTTGTTTTGAGTCGACTCAGAACCAAAGACTTTGTTTTGAGTCGACTCAGAACCAAAGACTTTGTTTTGAGTCGACTCAGAACCAAAGACTTTGTTTTCGTAACAGTTTGTATCATTCCAAGGCCTGTGGCCATACCTCATCTGGCAGTGTGGCCCAGGAAGGGACGATCCAAAGGCCTTGGTCCACGCGGATGGGATGGAAGGAGTCCTGTAGGCAGAGAGGCGGGGTGGAAAGGCAGGGAAGTGTATAAGTCGATACAGAAGTCAACTGAACAGATGCTAGGAACCAGGAGGGGACGATCCACGCAGATGGGATGGAAGGAGTCCTGCAGGCAGAAAGGCAGGGAGGCAGGGTGTAAGGAAGGGAGCAATTTTGATAAGACAGAAAACTTGGTCCACGTGGATGGGATGAGCAGGTCCGGCATGTAGGTGGGGCAGGTGGGGCAGGTGGGGCAGGTGGGGCAGGTGGGGCAGGTGGGGCAGGTGGGGCAGAGGGACAGAGGTGTCAACAGTCAACTGGCAAGAAATACTGGCTAGTTTAAAGCGATGGGATACTCAGAGGCCCGGGAATACAAGCTTTGAATCACGTGTACTGAGTCTCAAGACTCACGTGCACTTGCTGGACCCAGCCAGTCTCGCTCCACCACCTCTTCTATCCCCAGCAACACTGCTACCGTACACCATGAGTGCTACAGCGTCCCCAGCCCAACATCTTTCATGAGTGAAGTGCCGACTTAGAAGACCCACCTGCACTTGCTGCACCCAGTCTCGCTCCACCACCTCCTCTATCCCCAGCAACACTACTCCCACAACCTCCTCCCTCTCCTCCTCATCCTTCCCTCCTCCAGCTTCCTTCTCTCCCTGTTCCCCCTCCTCCGCCCACCCTGCCATCGCCCACTGCACTGAGTCTGCCGCCTGATGCACAGTGCTGCGGATGTTCCCCTCGCTCTGATTGGCTGGGAAGAACGCCCGAAGCCGAGTCTGGAGCAGGGGAATGGGGAGAAGAGGGGGTTTCTGGTTAAGAAGGGTAATAAAAAGAATTACACCAAAATTTGAGTTGAGTTGTCGCAGAGGAATGGGAGGGTAATGAGAGGAAGTTGGTTGGGGAGGGGGAGGGCGACTGATATTGCAGTCCTTCAGTGGCTCAGGACAGAGCGGATGCCATGGAAAGAAAACCACTGAAGGACTGGGGAGAGAAGTGGGAGTGACGGGAAAATGGAGGGTGTGAGAGGAGAAAGAAACTGTGCACAGTGATTAATTGCAGTAAATGACTTAATTTTTATTTTTTGCAATATAGAGATGTGGGATTTTTTTATTTAAATGGGAACCTTTTGAGATGTGTAAAGATGGCTTTTGAGATGGCGCACCTGATAACAGAGGTTGCGGGGGCCACTGGGATCCCAGGGAATGGGTCCGGATGAGTATATCTGTGATTTTGCACACCAGGAATGGTGAAAGCAGACGGGGTAAGGAGCAGAATGTGTGCAGGGGACACATGTGTTCATGTGTTCTTGCATGTGAGGAATGAGTTTACGGGTGTGTGAGAGCATGCATGTATGCATGTGCATGTGAGTAGTGCAGTGGTGGTAAAGATGAGCGATGAGTGAGGAGGAGTGCAACGTTGGTAAAAGGGAGCGTGAGGAGTGCGAGCGTGGCCCCCTACCTCCTGCCCACCACTCTACTACATGCTCACTCCCCATACCTCCTGCTCGGCTTCTGTGCCCGTATTGGCATCCTCTATTGAGCATGTGGTGGCTCCTAACGATAGCAGAGCGTCCATTAACGCGTCCTGGGTGTACATTGGGAGGAATTTGTGTACAAGCGGAGATATTGGGGGGAGAGGGGAGAGGGGAACGGGGAGGGAGAAGAGGGTGGGGGAAGGTACAGGGTTTCGGGTTCAGGATTTAAGGGTTCTGATCTCAAGAACATGGCGAATCACTTACAGCCACGTGTCCAGGGCATGTCATGATGGCAGCGCGCGTGACGCAGACGGACAAAGGATCAGGTGGTGACGTGTCATCTTGCGATGCAATTCCTCCTCTCGCTTCATGCCCTACTTTGCTGAACGCTCTGCAGATTCCGGGTACATTCCCAGCCGCAGCTGCTGGGAATGTTTGCCGGCTGATGCTGCTAGTGCTGCTGATTACGCTGGTGCTGCTGATGCTTCTTTTGCCGGTACCCAAACGTTGACAGAAATATCTAAACACCGAAGTGGGTGCTCGAGAGGAAGTAGACGGAGGAAATGACAGTTTGCTGCTGCCGTTGGATGAGACATGGGTGAGGTAGCGAGGCTTGATCATGGCCGTTGATGGTGATGATGCTGTAGGGGTACATAACGTGCCAGCCATTGTGACCAAGTACGGCGAAATGCCTCCCACGATTCGGCGACGACCAGCAATATTTGCCCGTTTACGGAGATATATAGAAGTATAAAATCTGCTTGTAATCTAGTACGGAGGGAAGGCCACGAAGGATAATCCGATGAGACTCCGTCGGGGTGATAGCAACTAGGTACCGTATATGGCCGTGACACGAGTAGGAAGCAAGACTTCAGACCGAGTGAAATGTTGCGCTGAAGTGGAATGTCATCAGCATGAGTGTTGGTCTGCGAGACCGCGACTTTTGGCATCCCTGCCTGCTCTCTTGATTCCAGCCGCAGCTGGCATTCAGTCTGCTGTACCCGTTACAGTGTTCATCACTCTGGTGCTCATTAGTTTGATTCGTAAGTTCTGATGTATTGAGACGAGAGTCAAGCTGGCATTCATCTCACTTGCCTTGCCACCTCACAGACCCAGACAGGAATTAAACAGTTGTTTGTCCACACAACACAAGAGAAGCCCGCAATATGTGCTACCCATAATCACCCGGATATAAGACCCTAGGGTCTTATGAAAACTACGGGAAAAAATGGTGGGGGGTCTTCTCATATTGTCATAGTAATATAAGACCCGGGTCTTTACAAATGAACATGTTTTTTTCACTTGTATTTGAATGCAAAGCTCATGTTGGTGTTTGATTCGTTTTTAGATTACGGAAAAGCAGTACGCCGAGGATGTTTTTGTGACGACTGTTTGTGAATGTGAAATCCAGATATTGCTCTCTGATTGGACAACCACATAGCCAATCAAGTCAAACGAATCTCAAAGCAAGACCATGAGAATCGCACAGTCAGACATTTGCCAGGTGGCATCACCCTCGCAACTGGTCAAACTTTGATTCATGAGCCTCGTAATGGCGGAAAAAACAAAAGAATGCACAACATTGACGGTGCGATGCCCATGTGACTTCATCCGAAGGGGAAACATTATGTTCTCCTTCACAAAACGACTCTATAATATTATAAAATCACACGTTCGCTGTAAAGGTGGGGGGTCTTATAATGTTTTCAACCAAAAAGGGGGGTATAACAAAAACATACCCAAATATAAGACCCACGTCCGTATTATAGACCCGGGGGTCTACAACTGGGGGGGGTCTTGTATCCGGGTGATTACGGTATTATCTCATGATCGGTTGAAAAAACCAGTCGCTGGCTCAATCCCCTCTCCAAGGCTATGGTTCCTCCCTGTCAAAGTTACATATTTTAGCTATATCCTGCTTGCTATAGTTACTGTAGCTATTGTCATAAACTGTTGGTGGTGCACCTCATTTTCTTGTTTCTTGCCTATATGTTCTTGCTTTGCTTTGGTAAACCCTCTTTTTTTGATCCAACCCTATCGTTAGTCATGCCTAGCCTAAACCCTAGGATGGCTCCTAGTCTCACCCTCTAGCTACGATTCTAACACTCCACTCCGCCCCTCACCACCACCTCCCCACACTCAGGACAGCTCGACTCTTCCCACAGCTCGACTCTTCCATCGCCCCGCCACACTCCCCAATCACACACACATGCCCATTGCGGCACCGGTACCAACCAGTAACCCCCTCCCAAGTCCACAGCATCAAACCCCGAATTACACAACGAAGTCAACGAAAAAATTGTAGGTTCGGAAAACCCTAGGAGGAGGTTCGGTGGGAAAATCGAGAACCAATCGCGTCAAAAACACACTCAAAACTTTCGACCAATCACGTGAAAGTGGTGACAGTTTTGGGGCCGACTCGGTAATTCTGGATGTGTCCTTCTCGGCTGGGGTGTTACCTTCTCGGAGCCTATGGCTCGTCCCACCCACCACCTCCCCACACTCAGGGCAGCTCGACTCTTCCATCGCCCCGCCACACTCCCCAATCGCATACACATGCCCGTTGCGGCACCGGTACCAGTGGCCCCCTCCCAAGCCTATCGCCTTGAATACATCCTCCTCCTCGCGTTCGGTCACAGCGAAATACCGAGGTTCGTCGCGCACAGATTGCTCCAGATCACGCAAGTCTTTCTCGAGCATTCTCCGAGCGCTGCCCCCGAGGCTGTCGTTCTCCCTGACTGAGGCCAGCTGGTGCGAGGCCACCATGTGGCACTGAACCGTGGCCTTCTCCAGATACTCCAGCTGCTTCTCCTTTGATGCATCCTGCCAGAAAATTTGCACAAGCTAATCCCCATGAGCCATCGTACTCCACAAAATGCACCTTCTTCTTCCCCTGGTGTATTTTGAGTCGACTCAAAATTTGCACAAGCTAATCCCCGTGAGCCATCGTACTCCACAAGATGCACCTTCTTCTTCCCCTCTCCCCTCTCCCAACCACCCAAAAAAATACAAGCTTAAAAAAAAAAAAAAAAAATGGAGGGGAGGTGGAGGGGAGGGAGGGATGAAGGGAGTGGGAAACGGGAGGAGGTTGGGTGTGAAAGAGATCCAGACGAGGATAAATGCAGTCTACTGTTCTCACCAGGCCAGTTTTGAGGCGCCTCAAAAGTCGGGAGGAGGTTGGGTGTGGAAGAGATCCAGACGAGGATAATTGCAGTCTACTGTTCTCACCAGGCCAGCCGGGGAGGTTGAAAGCAGGCGTTCCGCCATCATCCCTTCCACAAACGCACAGAACACATCAACCAGCTCCAGCCTCCCCCTCGCCTCCAGCCGATGCGCCTTGCACTTGCCAGCCCACTCCACCGCCTCCCCCACATGCCTCTCTGCGTACTTCAACCCCATGCAAACAACCGCCCTGCAATTTTCCACGCGCCCGGCCAAGAATGCTGCTCTACCAGTGCTGTTCCTATCGGTCTGACCAGCATTTCGACCAGCATTCGGACGAGCATTCTGAAAAGCCAGATTCTGGAGTTCTTTCAGAAGGCAGCGCAGCTGGGGAAAATTGGCGGCCATGAGAAGCTGGTAAGCTTTCCCAAGCAGCATGAGGGCCTCGCAGAGGGGCCGCGGGTCCGGCTGGGGCACATACAGCAGCTGGCACTCCTCCTCCCATGTTGGAGCATCTGCTCTGGATGACAAAGGTACCAAGTGGAGGTGCTTCCTCTGCAGCGCGGCTACAGAAGCCTGGTAGGTCTTCTGGGTAGGCGGTTCCATAGCCGTGACTTGCAGCTTGCTTGCCTGCAGTGTTAGAAAGGCTGCAGCCCGAGCCAACTCCCATACCTGCCACGGTTGGGCAGCCTCCGGACATGCAGATATGGCTCGGCTGAGCTGGGACAGCTTTGTCTGGAGCTGCTGCTGGTTGGCCAGGCAGCTGAGGGCGAACTTGCGCTCTGATTCATCCAGCAGCGCCTTGTTCACCATCCTGCCGTAACGGCGCAGCCCTGTGATTGGCTGGCGGCACTCCGGGCAGCCCTTGAGGGCGGACAGACCGCCATCGTCAACCGGCCGCACTGCCACCCACTTGGATGCAGCTGCTTGTGACCCACCTCCCGCTCCGCCTCCAGCCGCACTGCTGCCACCACCACACCGACCTTCTGCCTCTTGGTACACCTGGTTCAGCCCCAGGTGCCCATCCAGAGTCTCCACAGTGTAGGCATGACCGCATGGCAGCACCAGCACAGGGCTCTCATCTGGGTCTATCTCCCATAGCGTTTCCAGAGTGACCAGATCCACCGTCATCTCTCTCTTCTCCTGTGCCCCGCACCCTTCAACCGTGCAGAACGCCTTTGGAGGGCATTTTTCGGAGCAGAGAGACGGGCACTGGTGGCCGCATTTGAGCTTCTTCTCGCACCGCTGCTCGCACGGGAGGCGGTCGCAGGGGGCACCGCATGGGAGGGAGCACCGACCCTGGTGCTTGCAGCGCCACCCGCAAGGCTCGGCGCAGGGCGCGCAGGTTCGGTGGCAGGGTTGGGGGCAGGAGCTGTGCTGGCAGGCCACGAGGCACCTTCTAGTGCAGGGCTTGCAGGGGGTACCGCTGTGGCAGGGGTCGGGGCAGAGGTGGGCGCAGGGGAGCGGGCGCTTGCACGACTGCATGCACTTCTTGTGGTTTCTCTCCGGCTGCTGCTGTGGAGGCTGCTGCTGCTGCTGCTGTTGTAAGCCCTGCCCCTGGTCGGTGGCGACAGTTGGAGCAACAATGCAGTGACCGCAGGGAGCGATGCAGGTGTGGTCGCAGGAGTCCGAGAGGAAAACACCGCAGCGAGCCATGCAGAGCTCAGGTTTGGTTACTCTGGTGGCAGCCTCGCCACACTTGACTGCCTGCTTGTGCCCGCACAGGGGCATCGTGACCTCCACCGTTATCCTGCCACAGTGGGAAGTAGCAAAAAGTAAAGACATGAGAACCGAACAAGTAAGAGGAAGGGAGAAACAGCGAAGCAGTAACCATTGGAAGACAGGTAGCAGCCTGGGAGGCAAGGAACTCACGAGCAGAAGATAAAAGTGGGACTCAGAGTCTTGATGCACGAGACACTAAAAAGCCCAATGACTGCAGGGGAGCGGTTTTTGAGAACTCTCAGGAACCGCCTAAAAGAACTAAGTGCTTTTGAGAAACTCACGAGCAGAAGATAGAAGCGGGGTTCTGAGCCTTGAAGCAGGGGACGTTGAAGGCCTGATGGCCACAGGAGAGTGTGAGTTCCCTGGTGGTGACGAGGCAGGGCCCACAGGCCTCGCCACACTGCTTGGGGCACGTGTGTTGGTGCGGACACTCCTCCAGAGGGCGGATACGGTTGCACTCCTTGGGACAGAATGCATTGGCGTGTGCCCTGTCGTCGCCATGGCACCTGTTGGGTGTGGGAAGGAAGATCACGATCATGAGACCCTCCTTAAAAGAAGAGAGATTTCAGCTTCTGAGCTTGGAGGTATGGACATAAGTCAACAGTTGTATGCACGTGTATCAAACGATATCTGCATAACATGCATGCATGCGGGGGTGTTAGTGTTGAACCTCAATCTCACACATTGTATTTGTACTTTCTATATCCTAGCGTAGTGTAGTTTGCACTTTGTGTTTGGTTGGGTGTACACCCACATCCCAACCAAACCCAAATGTGATCTCCAAGCAATCTCCAACCCACCAATTGGAGATTGCCTTGGGATTACCCCCAATCCCTAAAGATAGCCCCCGATTCCCTTCTCCATCTTTTCCATGCCCATCTTGGATGTACTTAAAGAGCTTCAAGCTTATTACTAATGTAAGCTTCAAGCTCTTCTAAGCTTAAGTTCTGACACTTTCTGACCTGCGGGGGCAGGTGTGGCCGCAGGGAAGGGAGTGAGCCAAAAGCCACAAATCATCCGCCCTCACTAGCCTTCTCCTGGTGACTTTTGAGTCGACTCGAAAGCAACCTCGTCACATAGAATGCATGCATGTATTTCTGACCTGCGGGGGCAAGTACGGCCGCAGGGAGTGAGTCGGAAGCCGCACATCTGGGAGCATCCGCCCTCGCTGGCCTTCTCCTTGAACTCCCTGCAACTTTGAAGTCTACTCACCTCACCTCAATATCAACACAAATTCTCACCTGCGGGGGCAGGTATGGCCGCAGGGAGTGAGCCGAAAACCACACATCTGGGAGCATCCGCCCTCGCTGGCCTTCTCTTTGAACTCGCCCGCTCTCTCAATGTGCGTCACCGTGTCAGGGTGGTTCACACAGCGCAGAGGGATGAACTTTTGCACGCAACCCTTGCTCTCCAGCATGTTCATGATTCTTGGCCACAGCACGGATGTGGAGGTAGCAGCCCTCATAGTGCTGGCGTTGCCTGCTCTCATGTTGGAGATAGGGGATGGGAGAAGAGAGGGAGGAGGGGAAGGGAGGAGGGGGAAGGGGGAAGGTGTTAGAATCTAGCAGCAGGAATGGATGAACTAACAGGATGCAGGAGTACAAGTAGTAAACCCTACTAGGTTGTACCCCATGTGGGCTACCCCACTACAGCCTAGACAATATGCAGCACATATAGTTTGACACACCCCCATAGGCAAAGTGGGGGAGAACAAGGGGTCACACGACCAGTCAAGAGAAGCAAAACAAGCTCAGGGTGGATCACAACGTCACCACGCATTCTGAGCACAAGCAAAGGGCCACTGGGCCAGTTCACATGCAGAGATATATATGCAGCAATAACAGTACAGTGATGGCTACCTAGCAAGAGCCAGCATGCATATATATATATATATGTACAGATCACAGTACAAGCAGAGACTACAGCAAGTATGGAAACGTAGGCACAAGGCCTAACAGAGTACAAAAGCGCTGATGATCACCAGACGGAAGTGCCTTGGTGAATATGTCAGCAGTGTTGGCCCGAGTGGCCACGTGGCGAAGACGAAGCTGGCCTCGCTGCTGCAACTCTCGAGCCAGGAAGTACCGCAGAGCAATGTGCTTCGTTCTGTGCTCCAGTCTGTGCTCCTCACACAAGGCAATGGCGGCCTTGTTGTCAACGTACAGCACTGGAGGAGAACGAGGCTGCTCTCCCAAGTCAGTCAGCAGGTAGGTGAGCCAGCGTAACTCCTGTGCAGCCATGGCGGTGGCGTAGATCTCAGCCTCACAACTGGAGCCGAGAACTGAAGTCGAGCGTGTAGAACGCCACGAAACTGAACCAGAGCCAAGGCTGAAGGTGTAACCCTGTGACGACCGCTGAGTAGCCAGGTCGTCAACCCAAGAAGCGTCTGAGTGCCCAGTGAGGACAACTGGGCTCGTCCCTCCAAGCACTAGCCCCATGCCTGATGTGCTGCACAAGTAACGCAGTACCCTCTTAGCAGCAGCCATGTGCTCAGGTCGGTGCCGACCAGGAGCCACGTAGCGAGCCAGGAGACCAAGAGGGTACGCGAGGTCAGGTCGAGTGCAAGTCATCAGGTACATGAGGCAGCCGACTAGCTCTGGGTAAGGACCACTCGGCTCTACGGACTCGTCCGAAGGTGGAGCTGAGAGCGTGTGACCTGTAGCCAGAGGAGTGGCCTGTGCTGAAGACCAGGTGAAGCCGAAGCGCTGAAGGACCTGCTGCACCATGTGTGACTGAGTCAAGGTGATGGTGCGACGTGCTCTGTCTCGGGTGATCTGCAAGCCAAGGTAGCTGCGCAGCTCACCCAAGTCTGTGCACGTGTGTCTCTTCTGCAGCTCCGACTTCACGTGGGTGAGAGCCTCAGTGTCAGCAGTGGCAAAAACCAAGTCGTCGACATACACGAGGATGTAGAACGGCGGCAGGGAAGTGTCGGTGCGCAGAAACAGCGACGGGTCAGCAGTAGAAGGCGCAAACCCAAGAGCCGCAAGCGTAGTCCTCAGTGTGTCGTGCCACTCACGTGGCGCCTGGCGGAGACCGTAGACCGGCCGCCGGAGGCTCCACTGGGTACCAGGAGGGAACGACCCAGTGAAGCCCGGGGGGCGGCGCAGCCAGATCTCCTCGTGCAGGCTGCCCTGCAGGAAAGCTGTGCTGAAGTCAAGAGAGTGAAGCTCGTAGTCACGGTGAGCAGCAACGTGCAGCAGCACCCGAAGAGTGGTCATCTTCGGGGTGGGGGAGAAGGTCTAGAAGAAGTCAACTCCCTCTCGCTGACTGAAGCCTCGAGCCACGTAACGCGCCTTGAAGACAGGCGGAGAACCCGGTGGCCGCTTCACCCTGAAAATCCACATGCCACTGACGATGTTCGCCCCAGGTGGGGGAACCTCGTCAACGTAGGTGCCTGTGGACTTCCAGGAAGCCATCTCTGCGTCCATGGCTGCCTGCCACTGAGAGGAGTAGGGACCCTCTATCGCCTCTGCGTAAGAGCGCGGAGTCGGGATGTCTGGTGCATCCGGGTCTCCCTCAGGGGCAAGTAGCGAGGACACAAGATGAGGTAAAGCAGCAGCAAGGCACTGGAACTCCTCCTGCCTGTCCTCAAGGACGTCCGTGCTAAGAGCACACTCACCCCCGACGGACGGAGGACAGACAGACTCAGACTCAGTAACAAGACTGGCAGTGAAGTCTAGACGACAGGCAGCAGCAAAGTCAACAAGCTCAGCGACAAGAGCAGACGCAGCAGCAGACTCAAACGACGGGTCAGTGACAACTGTGGCTAGTAGACGCGTGACAGTAGGGTGCTGAGCACGAAACCGGTCAGACGCAGGGTCCGGAACGTCAGGCAAAGAGGACGCAGGAGGAGACGGCAGAGGAACAGGCTGCGGAACAGAGGAAGGACGACGGACTACGAGGTGTGCGCTGGGGACAGCCGGCGGACGCGAACGAGGAACACGAGGACCGGTACGACCAGGACGAGCAGGCGAGACAGGACGCGACGCAGGCTCACGACGCACCCAGAACCAGCACCTCCAGCTCCAGGGTCTCCAACCTCAGTGTCTCCAGCACGAGCCCCTCCAGAACCAGCAACTCCAGCACCTCCAGTAGACAAAGGACCAGCACGACTCCGAGCTCCAGCAGCGCGACGCTGACGGCGACCGTACCCCCAACGGCTCCAGAACCTCCGGTGTCAGTACCCTCAGCACCAGTACCTCCAGCGACTCCAGAACCTCCAGCGCGAGCACCCTCAACAGCTCCAGGACCTCCAGCTCCAGCGCCACCAGGACTAGGCCCTCCAGCAGCTCCTGAACCTCCAGCGCCAGCACCCTCAGTAGCTCCAGAACCTCCAGCGTCAGTACCGCCAAGCTCAGCACCCCCAGACCCCTCACACGCAGGCTCAGCACCACCAGGCTCTACACCCTCAAGCTCCGCACCCTCAGGCTCAGTACCCCCAGACTCAGCACCCCCAGGCTCCGCACCCCCAGGCTCAGCACCCCGAGCAGGACCACTCGCAGGAGGACCTGAGTCACCAGTGACCTCAACCGGCGCAGTCAAGGGAGGAAGGTCTACCTGAGAAACACCTGAAGGAGCAGGACCGGGAGCGGAGAGGGGGTCTACCTGGGGAGCACCTGGAGCAAGGAAGAGCGGCGGGGGGGGGAGCGAGGCAGTGCGGTAGGGGAAGAGACGGTAAAAGGGAACCGACTCGTCGAACGTGACGTCCTGAGACGCAAAGACACGGCGCGAGGTGGGGTGGTAAAACTGCCAACCAGGCGCGTCAGGGACAAAGCCAAGGAAGACACAGGGAACAGCGCGGGCGGAGAGCTTGTCCGCGGTGGTATCGCGGACAAAGGCACGAGCACCCCAGACCCGGAAACGCGACGCATCGCCAACCTTCCCCGTCCACAGCAGTGTGGGCGAGGTCTCCGGCAAGGAGACACGGGGCCAGAGGTTGAGCTGATGCGCGGCGTACCGGACCGCAAACGGCCACAGAAAATGGGGGGCAGCCGCATGGATCATGGAGGTACGAGCGACCTCCATGACTAAGCCAATGCGGCGCTCAGCAACCCCATTCTGCTGCGGAGAGGCCGGAAGCGTGAACGACTGGGTGATGCCGTGCTCCGCACAGTAGGCTGCCAAGAGGTCGGAGGAGAACTCACCACCTCTGTCAGAGTGCAGACGCAGGACAGGAAAGTCCGACCGGAACCGCTCGCGGAGCTGGAGACGAACAGCGCGGATCCAGGGGATCAAAACAGCAGGGACGTCCCCCTTGCTCTGCAAGGGGAAGACCGTGGTGTAACGCGTGTAGTCGTCGACGACCAGCAGGAAGTACCGCTCGCGGCCCTGTCCCTGGACGCGGGCTGGGCCCCACACGTCCAGGTGGAGCGTCTGCAGTGGAGCCTCTGTGGGAGGAAACGAGGAGGAGTGAGGAGCGGCGCGCTGCCGCCCCTCGACGCAAGGAATGCAGGGCGGCGCAGGCGAGGGAGGGAGGGCAGGCAGGGACCTGGGAAGACCAGAGACCAGGGAGCGAGAGTGCATGCTACGCAGGCGAGGCAAGGAGGGGTGACCAAGGCGGTGGTGCCACAGGAGAGTGTCGTGCGACAAAGCGCGACACTCGCAGGGGGCCGCCAGCTGACCAGACGCAGACGCAAACGCAGACGCAGCTACCTGAGGGGACTCAGTGGTCAGTGTGTACAGACTCGAGCCAGGTGCACGGGTGAACGTGGCCAAGTGCCGGCCCGTCCTAGCACACGTACAGTGAGTCACTCGCTGACTCGCAGGAGTGAACTGGTGAACCCCCCCATCCTGGAGGTCAGCTCCACTCACCAAGTTCGTAGAGAACGAGGGGAGGTAAAGACCTGACAGCGAGCCAGACGGGACGGCCGGACACGGCAGAACCGTGGAATAGTGGGCAAGGACTGGACCCCCAGAGGGGTCCGCCAGGGAGACCGGGACTGGCCGACGGAGCGGCGTGAGTGCGGTGCAGTCGCGAAAGAAGGAGCGGGAAGCTCCTGAGTCAAGGGTGAAGGTGTGCGAGACCGTAGTGGGCGCAGTACCAGAGAGAGCAGACACAGCAGCACCTGAAGCCACGGCCTCACCAGTACCTAGAGCAGTAGACGTACTAGCACCGAGAGCAGCAGCCTCACCAGCACCTAGAGCAGGAGACGCACTAGCACCTAGGGCAGCAGCCTCACCAGGGTCAGGCGGTACGCACAGGCAACAGGCACGGTCAGCACTAGTAGACAATGCATACATGGCAGTGAGAATAGCATCATAGTCAAGCGCAAAGATATCTACCCTCTGTCTATGCAGCTCCAGCCAGGTGGGGAGCTCAGCCTCGTCGCCAAACACTGTGCGCCAGTCGTCGCTCAGACGGGCGAAGCAGCGGGACTGTGTGTGACCAAGCGTCCCACAAGGCTGACCAGTCCTAGCACCTGTGCGAATGACGTACGGGCAGCGGACCGTACGCGTAGACCTGCTACACTGAGCGTACCACTCCTGGAGCTGCCGGGGCGTAAGTGTCTCACGTGGACGTCCCTGCAGCTGCAGCTGGCCACTGCCAGACGCTCCCAACTGACCAGCTCCAGGGCGACAGCTACGACGGCTACCACGACAACCCCAGCTAGTATACCACTCACTAAGCTGCTGGGGCGTCAGAGGCTCGCGTGAATGTCGCTGGAGCTGCATCTGGCCACCTGCCAGTAGCAGTAGCGCAGGCAAGGCAGGCGCGGCAGGCAGGCAAGCAAGCAGGCAGGCAGGCAGGCAGGCAGGCAGGCCGGCAGGCAGGCAGGCAGCCAGGCAGGCAGGCAGGCAGGCAGACAGGCAGGCAGGTAGGCAGGCAGGCAGGCAGGCAAGCAGACAGGCAGGCAGGCAAGCAGGCAGGCAGGCAGGCCGGCAGGCAGGCAGGCAGCCAGGCCGGCAGGCAGGCAGGCAGACAGGCAGGCCGTCAGGCAGGCAGGCAGGCGCTCACCAAAGGCTGGGAGAGCAGGGCCGGCGCTCGAGTATGCGCACGACAGCGGCGACGTCGGGGCCGCAAAACCGGCTGCAGAGCAGGGCCGAAACAGCTGTAGAGCGGGGCTGCGTCAGCGGCAGTAGCAGGGTGGGGCCGCGTCAGCGGCAGGTCGGGGCCGTGGCAGCTGCAGGGCGGGGCCGCATCAGCGGCAGGTCGGGGCCATGGCAAAGGGCCGCGCGCGGCCGCGCTAGGGAGTAGCGGGCCGCGCGCGGCTCGGCGCGGGCTGTTGCGGGCCGCGCGCGGGCCGTGCGAGGCAGGAGCAGGCCTCGCGCGGCTCGGCACGAGCTGCTGCGGGCCGCGCGCGGGCCTCGCGAGGCCGTAGCAGGCCGCGCGCGGCTCGACGCGGGCTGCGCGGGCTCGGCGCGGGCTGCGCGCGGCAGCTGCGAGCTGCGCGCGGCTCGGTGCGGGCTGCGCGCGGTTGCAGCGGGCTGTGCGCGGCTCGGTGCAGGCTGCGCGCGGCTGCAGCGGGCTGCGCGCGGCTCGGTGCGGGCTGCGCGTGGCTGCAGCGGGCTGCGCGCGACTCGGTGCGGGCTGCGCGGTCTCGGTGCGGGCAGCGCGCGGTAGCAGCGTGTGTGCGGGTCTTACGGGCCTCTAGGGGCAGCGCGCAGGCAAGGCAAGGCAAGGCAAGGCAAGGCTACGTGGGGTAGCGCGGTAACCGCAGCGGTAGGTGGGCCCGAAAAAAAGCGGTCCTACGGACCTTAGTGCTCTGAAACCATGTTAGAATCTAGCAGCATGAATGGATGAACTAACAGGATGCAGGAGTACAAGTAGTAAACCCTACTAGGTCACTACAGCCTAGACAATATGCAGCACATATAGTTTGACAGAAGGGGGAAGGGAGAAGTGTGAAGGGAGCAGGGAACATGGAGGAAGTCGACTAAGAAGTAGACTTGTCAGTATGGCTCAACTAGAAAGGGCAGCAAATTGAACTGCTCAGCACGCGCACAACACAACTCTGCGGCATGGTCACAATTCCCAGGCACAACAACAGGCACTTACAAGTCGAGAAACTTCTTCGAAGTAGCTGCCCTCATGACGCCATGCACTCACCAACGATGTACATGCCGTGCTTGGCGCGGGAGAGCAGCACGTTGGTGCGGTTGGGGCTCTTGAGGAACCCAATCTTGCCGTCCACGTTGTTGCGCACGAGAGAGATGATGATCACCGTGCTCTCCTCGCCCTGGAAACTGCACGCACATCAGAAAGTTGGAGGAAGGACACACATTCGAAATCTTGGGACAAACCAAGGCCTGCTCTCCTTGCTGTTGCATACGAGGGAGATGATGATCACCGTGCTCTCCTCGCCCTGGAAACTGCACGCACCAAGATGGGCAGGCAAGATGAACAAGTTGGAGGAAGGAAGCATCATCAGAAACTGTTGGGACAAACCAAAACCTGTTGTTGCACACGAGGACGATCATGACCACCGTGCTCTCCTCGCCCTGGAAACTGCACGCATTCAACACCAAAATGGAGCAGAAAACCCTTTTGAAGCTGTACACCCAATACAGACAAGCAAACGCTATTCCGCTCTTCCACTCTCATGCTCCACACCACAGTAACAGTCCAGTAACAGTCCAGTCCATACTGTTCTAGCCACACACTCACTTGTCTACAGTTGCTAGCCGAACCGCATCCTTCAGATTTGCCGTGGTCACTTTAGGCGCAGCTAACGCCATCCCCAACTTCTTCGCCACTGAACTCCCCACCCCCACCGCCGTCCCCTGTCCACCCCCAGCCGCCTCCCCCTCAGCTGCACCTTCCCTAGCAGCCGCCTTCTCCTCTGCCTCCTCCACCACCTCCACATCGCCCTCCCCCAGGCGCACATTGACCACCTGAGAAAGCGCCTGGCGCAGCTTCAGCAGCTGGCCGACATAGGGCGTGAGGATGGTGATTTCCCCTCCCGAGTACCCCTGCTGCAGGAGGTAGGTTGCGAGGGCCAACACCATGGCTGCCTCGCCCGCGTTGGACTTGGACTTGCCCTCCCTCAGGTCGTCCCCTCCGCTCTCCGGAAAGTTGTGGTCCGAGAAGTGCAGGTTGGCCGCCATGCCCAGCACGTCCGGGTACCTGGGGAAGGAAATGAGGGGACGAGTTTGGGAGGGAGGGAGGGAGGGAGGGAGGGAGGGAGGGAGGGAGGGAGAGAAGAAATTTTACATGGGGGGAATGAGGGAGGAGTAAAGGATGATCCTTGAGATGGGAAAGCATAAATATATACAGAAATAGCATCTGTGTATTATAATCATAATAGCAAAAAAAAAAAAAAAAAAAAACACACACACACACACACACACACACGTGACGGCCCACAAGCACATAAGCAAGCTACACACATACCCTTGCACACATGGGTGATCCTTCAGGCCTGGGTAGATGGTGTAGCGAATAAGGTCAGCGATTTCAGGGCGCATGCGGCGCTGCGTGGCGAGGGTGTAAACAGGGATCTGCTTTGAATGGGCGAGGCGTTCGAAAAGCGAGACGTCCAGGTCGAAGCCCCTTTTGGAGTCCTTGCTCAGCTCGTACACCTCCACCTTGGGCCGCAGCTGCAGGTGGTCACCTGCCATAATCCAGTGTAAGAAGCAGAAGATGGAGGAGGGTCAGAGGAATGGAGGTGGGGCACACGAATCGGTATGGATGGCATGGGCTGATCAGCAAGGGAGCCCTTGCTCAGCTCGTACACCTCCACCTTGAGCCGCAGCTGCAGATGGTCGTCTGGTGGTGGAAGTGGCATTGGTAATGCCACTTGTCAACACGAAGCAACATCGTTAACCCGGTGGGGCCACAGCAGCTGCAGGTGGTCGTCTGGTGGTAAAAGTGGCATTAGGGCGGGGGTGGGTGGGGCCACAGGAAATAACCCGGTGTTACCATAACTCACCTGTCAACACGAAGCAACATCCTTAACCACAACCATAGCAGCAGCAGCCCACGGCGTACCGATGAGTATGACGTGGGTCTGTGGGGTGGGTGAGTGATGTCAGAATGTGAGCTTCCTGCACCCATGCTATGAGCCAATTCCCACTCATACACCCACATAAATAACCATACCGCCTGTCATACCTGTAAGGATAACATGCTCTGTCTGCGGGGTGAGCGAGGTGAGGATGTGGGCCTCCAGCACCTCAGCAGCCTCCTCCACGATGATGACTCGCGGGCCGAGCGCCGTGATGAGGCGCTGCATCTTGGCATTGCGGCGTGCCACCATGATGACCCCAGACGGTGTGATCCCCACTGAATGCAAGATGCAGGAAGAAGAAGATGCAGCGCCTCATCACGGCGCTCGGCCCGCGAGTCATCATCGTGGAGGAAGCAGCTGAGGTGCTGGAAGCCCACATTCTGACCTCGCTCACCCCGCAGACACAGCATGTTATCCTTATAGGTATGACAGGCGGTATGGTTATCTATGTGGGTGTATGAGTGGAAATTGGCTCATAGCATGTTTGTGGCAAGCCTGGGCGCATTCGGTGGGGATGACACCGGTCCTCCACCTGCCGTAGCTCGTTGCGCTCCCTCATCGTCCTGCATGTTCCAAGAACACATGCCAGATGCGGACACACATGCCAGATGCGGACACACATGCCAGATGCGGACACACATGCCAGATGCGGACACACATGCCAGATGCGGACACACATGCCAGATGCGGACACACATGCCAGATGCGGACACACATGCCAGATGCGGACACACATGCCAGATGCGGACACACATGCCAGATGCGGACACACATGCCAGATGCGGACACACATGCCAGATGCGGACACACATGCCAGATGCGGACACACATGCCAGATGCGCACACACACGGTAGAGGCGGGTTAGAATTACAGCGTGAGATTTGCTTGCAGGTTCTCCAAATTCCTGCACATGCACATCCACACAAACAGATGTGACACACACACGCACGCACGCACCCACGCACGCACGCACGCACGCACGCACGCACACACACACACACACACACACACACACACATGCGCATGCACAAGCATGCACAAACAGAGACATATGTGTGCACACACGCAAAAATCTGCACACACACACATACTAGCGCGCACATGCATGCACGCACGCACGCACGCACGCACACGCACGCACGCACGCGCACACACGCACGCGCGCACACACACACACACCAGGAGTAGTTCGCCACCTCAGCCTCAATGGCTGGCAGCAGTGGCAGTGGCGCGTAGCTCCCTCACCTTCCCCCTACCTACATTCACCACCACCATGCCACACGCACCTGGAGTAATTCGCCACCTCCGCCTCAATGGCAGCAGTGGCAGTGGCGCGCAGCTCCCCAACCCAGAACTCCACCAGCTTCCTCCTCTCCCGCCCACTCGTTGCCCACGGGTCCTCCAACCCTAACAGCTCCTCCACTCCTCGGTCACTCTCCTCATCCACTTCCGGTCTCGCCCACACCTCCTCCTCCACCACCTCTTCCTCCATCACCTTCCCCATGCTCCCGTGCTTCCCCATGCCGCCTTCACGTCGCATGCCATCGTGAATTCTCAAGTCACCGAACGCGTGTGACGGATCCTCCTTCGCAGGAAACACTCCCGCCCCTCCTGAGCCTCCTGCCCCTGCACCTCCTGCACCTCCTACCCCTCTCGCTCCCCTTGAGGGAGCAAGGCTCAGCCACGAGCTGTCAAGTCCTGTGCCTGTCACTGAATATGCACCACCACTGCCACCACCATCAAAGTACGAACTCATCAACCCAACAATCTCACTCAGCTCCGCACTCACTCCACCATCCCTCAAACTGCTTAAATCCCACCCTTCCCCAAACTCCAGATCACCAAGCAACCCCAGGGCATCGAAAGCATTCTGCATCGGAGCCTGGTGTCCAGAAGCGGCTATTCCCACTCCCCCTACTCCCCCTCCCGCTCCTTGAGGCAGGGCTCCCGCCTTTCCTCTCCCTCCTCCTCCTCCTCCTCCTCCTCCTCCTCCTCCTCCTCCTCCTCCTCCTCCTTTGCCTCCCTTCCCCCTGCCGGATACATGACCTTGATCCTCCCATGTCTCAGCAGCAACCTTTTTTAAGTTCATGCTTTTCTTGGGCAAGCCTTGCTTCCACCGTTCCCAGTTGTCTCGCCCCACTTGCTGCCAAGAGAACAGGAAAGCGAGATAATAACATGCAGAACTGGGTTGTTTGTTTTTTTTTTTTGTTTTTTTTTTTTTTTTTTTTTGTGACAACCTCCTTCACACAACATTCACACACGCATCATCATGACCTGGGAGGTGTGTGAAACAGCGCACCCCCTTTTAACCTAAAAAAAACACAGGGTGGACAGCCATGAGGTGCATTGAATCAACGTAAAATACATCCGCACACCCTTATCCCCCCACACACCCACCCAACCACCTACCCACCCGCCCACTTACCTTGAAACCATTGGCATCTGCCTTGCTGGTGGGGCAGAGCGCGTGGAAGAAAACAGGGTGGTTGGCCATGAGGTGGCGGGCGATGGAGCCCCATGCCACCGCCGCCACGTTGTCACTGCGCTGCTGCAGAGCGTCGCTGTACGTGCCTATCACCTCCTCCACCTCGCCCAGCTTGAATTTCACCTCATAGTTCGATTGCCTGCATGCTGCTCTCACACACGCACACACATAGAACCACATGCACGCACACACACATAAAACAACTTGAGATTCAAGACAGGCACCTGCCTATCACCTCCCTCCTCCACCTCGCCCAGCTTGACTTTCACCTCATAGTTCGATTCCCTTTGTGCTGCACAGTAGACACACACCCACACCACACACACACAGAGGCACGAAACCGCTTTGGGTTTACAAAAGCTCGAGTTTGAAACACGTGTCGAGTTGTCCCCGGGCTTGGGCACGTGCTGATCTGATCAACAACCAGCTCTGCCCCGTCAAGCTTGCTGCCCAGACCACCTTGTAGCTCCCCTGCCTGTGTACATGGCTCTCTCTCACACAACACAAGATTTTTCACAATCTCTGTATGCTCCTTCCCACACATGATTATTCAACACTGAAAAACTCACAGGTTCGGGTCTAAAAAAACGTTTCAAAACGCAAAAACATCCATCTCAGACTCGGAATGCAAGTAAGTGGTTTGGTTGGGAAGAATCTGCGGTGCAGTGCAGTGCTGTGCGGTGCAGTGCTGTGCTGTGCTGTGCTGTGCTGTGGTGCTCACTTTTGCTGCGCAGCGGGCCAGAGTTTTGGATTATCTCGCTAAGGTTGTACTCTTGCAAAATCTCCGACTTGCTCCTTCCTCCAACGCGCACAACCTGTTATCAGTGAGAACCACACAGAATAAACCACACGGAAAGAACACCACAGAGATAACCACACAGAGAGAACCACGGCCGTACAACCGGACCAAAGCCATCGCATGCAGAGGCAAAGGCTTGTCTAAAAAAGCAGCCTGCCAATGACGTAACCACGAGCCACAGAACCCGGCTTATGGCAAGAACCGCAACATACACAAATCAATTTGAGTAGAGGGGATGTGGGACCTCCAGTATATGTTGCTACTGACAAGTCCCGCAATGAGTCTCGGGATGGGACACTCACGTTCGTGGTGCTACTGGCAATGAGCCTCGGGATGGGACTTGCAGGAGGGACGCAATCAGATCTGACAGCAGCGGTATAGTTGTTGCACTCACGTTCTTGATGCCGCTGACAATGAGGCCTTCTAGGAACTCATCCAGTGCGTGGTTGGTGAAGCACACGCACAGGATGGGACCTGCTGACCTGGCCACCTCCCTGCCTCGAGAAAACAGTCCTCCTAACGAACTGCTCTTCTTGAGAGCATTGCTCAGCAGAAGCTCCACAAGCTTTATCCCCACAAACGTCTGCCATGTGAATGCACACACACACACACACACACACACACACACGCACACACACACTCTCTCTCTCTCCAGTCAGACGGCACCATAGCAATGAAGGCTTTGTGTAAACCTGCATACAACGCGGAACAGGTTTGAACTACACAACGCATCTTACTAGTTCCCGGCTTGTACCTGTGGCCTAAAAGATACAAAGGAGCATTTGTGTTGGATACAGGTCTTCAACCCACCCACCTTGCCAGTCCCTGTAGGGCAGCCTGGAGTGCCGCAGTTTGGGGCTCGTCCAGCGACGTGCAGCGCAGGAGAGCACCCATCCTTAAACTACTATCGTCTTGGCTTACATACAAGGAGCATCAATCCTCGGACTAGTATCATGTCGGCTTACAAGGACTATTGTAACGCCTCGCAACTACTCACAAATCCGTTTGGTCACCACCCACCTTGCCAGTTCCCGGGGGGCCCTGAAGCAGAGCGAACTCCTGAGTGAGAGCAGCATGGAGTGCTGCAGTCTGGGGTTCGTCTAACGACGTGCAGCGCAGGAGAGCATCCATGGGGAAGGCCGTGGGGCTGCCGATCATCACGTTCCTGATGGCAAACTCGTCCTCTGGAGCTGTCTGTGGCTGCTGGGAGGAGGAAGGAGACTTGGTCTTGAGCAGGAGGCTCAAGTCGTACCTGCAAGCAAGGGAATACTCAACACAGGCACACGCAAAGATACAAACTCGCGGAGGCTTGCTCTCGGTGAGGGAAGAAAGGCAACGATTGGAAACGTTGTCTAACTGATGGGAGATGGGGTTAGTTCTTGCAAACAATCCTGAAAAGCTGAAAAGACATGCCATTGTTGCAAGAATGTTACGCATTCTAGAATGTTGCAAGAATGCCAAACCTCTCTCCCTCTCATTCAGCCCCTTTCGTTTATGCCCCTCTCTTCCAACATCACATTGCAGACCCCCTTTGACCCTCCCCTTCCCACTTACAGCATCCCCCCTTTGATGTAACCAGGCAGCTTATACGCTCCAGGTGCCCCACCAGGTGCCCCTGCAGCTGCCCCGCAGATGTACTCAGAGAAGGGCAGCGATGTGTCAGTGATACTCTGCAGTGCCTTCAGAATTGGCTCATACGCGAAAAAGCTCCCATGCGCCTCCAACATCACCACCTGTGTCCTCCCGCCGCTCCCGCCACTCCCCCCATTGCCGTCCTGTGCGATCAGCCCCAGCAGGTCTGCACTGAACCCGTCACCTCCGCATGGCTGCACGCCAATCTGCGGCCTGGCAGCGGCCAGCCTCCTTGTGTCGCGGGCTGTGATGGTCGCGAAGATTAACCGGTGGGAGGATGTATCACTTGCTGAAGAGTGAGTGTCCATCGGAGGGAGGAATTGCTGTTGTTGCCTGTGAGTGTGAGTGTGAGTGTGAGTATGACCGGAATGGATGTCTCGGATCCACAGGCCGACCAAGGAGCCGTTCTGCAGCCTCCGCGTGTTCTCCCAGAACTCCACCCTGCAACGAAACACAAGAAGGACGCGAGAAAGAGGTTAGGTGGGTGCAACTATCATGAACAGCTGGCTGGCAGGCAAGAACCAACCAAGACGGACGCATGCGTATGATAAAAATAGGCATCAATTGCAGATAAGCTCGGCACTAAGTGCAAACAAGCTTTGGGTTACCTGCTGTTACGAGAATGTCGGCCCCGCGGCATGGGAGGTTCCAAAAAGTCTATAAGAAAGTACACGCTGCTCTTCCTGTCGGCGACAATAGACAGCACGCGCACATCGCGCAGCAGATACACGTCCATGTCCTCTGAAGAAAACCCCACCACGCCCTTCATATCATCCGTCAGACCCCTCACCAACTCCCTGTTCGCCCTCAACAGCCCCATCGCCTCGTCTCTGCTGCCGCCTCTGCCACCACCACCACCACCGCCGCCGCTGCTCGTGCTGCTACTCCCCCTGCCACGAGCATCCCAAGAGGATTCGTTGTTGAAGTGGTAAAAGAGGAAGAGCGCTTTGCTCCAGAGGGGGGCGATGAGGTCGTGGCGGAGCAGGCGGAAGTGGATGTCCACATGGCGCCCCACTGACCCCGCTGGCAGGTGGTGCGGCTCGTTGGGGTGGTTGTGTGGCAGGTACAGCGATGCCTTGCAGAGTACCTCCTCCATCGTTGGAGCCACTGAGATCTGGGGGAGTTGGGCAAGGGAGGAGGTATTGAGACAGGAGGAGTGTGGTCATTAGGCTCGTTGGGGTGGTTGTGCGAAAGATAGGGCGACGCCTTGCACAGCACCTCCTCCTTTGTTGGCGCCACTGAGATCTGAGATCAAACAAGGGAGGGGATAGGACAGGACGAGTCTAATCTTCTCTTCGGAAAGGGAACAATCAAGACAGGAAGCTTCTGGTCTCAGGAAAGAGAATCACCACGACAGGTGTCCGGTATCAGGCAGCGACCATCGACTCAGGGAGGAAAAACCCATCGAAAAAAGCAATATCAAGAATCAAGCGAAAAACACGTTTACTACCAGTAATGATTGCCATGTCACGTACATGAGAAGATGAACCCGTAATGATTATCTTACAGCTGCAATTTCAAGGTGGTCGTTGTCATGCCGGGGGCGGCCATCGAGGCTGAGCTCGCCCGGACCATCCACATCCTGCATGCTGGTCAGGCGCTGACCTGCACATGGTTTACATCACAACAGTAGCACGCGTTCAGATTTGTGTCACTGACTTGACATTAGACGAAGTCTGAAACATTTGACATCAGCCGGAATAGATAGACACAGCAACTCCTGGCACAGCACGCACGAACCTGGAGGGAAGAAGTCGGCATGCAGCAGCTGCCCTTCCTCCATCCTCTGCCGCTGTCGCTCGCTGTGCTGCCGCCTGTCCAGCGACTTCCTCAGCCTGTAGATCACCGACCGAATGCTGTGGTATTTCCCATCAAACACCGGCTTCTCCCTCTGCCATTTCTCAAGCATGCCTTCCACCTCCTGCATGTCATTACTAGCTTGTGCCGCGTCGAACAGGGAGTAGAATCTATCCATGGTGAGGTTGAAAAAGCTGATGATGACGTGGAATGCCGCGTCCCAGTCGTTGATATTGTCGTCGTCCCGTGACAGATCGCGGATCATTCCGCGTTGGGTTAGGAGGCGCATGCAGCCGATGAGGTACTCCTGGAGACCTTCCACCTCGACGATTGCTGCTAGGGTTATGTTGACTTTACTCGATGCTGGGTTGTTGAAAACTCGGGCTGCTGAGATTCAATTGAAAAAGTCGAACGAAATAAAATAACATGAGCTTCACAGGAAACATCACAATTGAATCTGAGCAAGTGCGAGACGTTACCTGACAGGTGACCCTGAGCATCGGCAGAATCACGCCCTGGAAGGAAACGAATTTGGTGTGATTTCCAGCAGACACGGATCGTGAAGGTCCGCATGCCACAGCCTCCCGACAGATGCTAACCACCTTCTTTCTCCCAAAAAGCTTGTCGTCAGCCAGCACAATCACCAGATCTGCAGAAACGGTTCGAATTGAACAACAATAGAGCTCGTGACATCAGTATATTGACTGACAAGTTGAAAATAGCATTGACAGCACTTTCCAAAGGGCAATTTGTCACCATGGGAAGGTTTGAAAACATGGTAGTACCTGAGACATCATGAGTTTCCATTGCGTTAACGAAATCTTTCATGTGAGACTGATTCACGAAATCTTTGTCACTCAGGAGGAAGGACCGTAGGTCAGGGCCCTTCATACCCTGACCGTCTAAACTGGACGTCCCTCCTCGTCCTCCTCTTCCTCTTTCTCCCCCTCCTCTTCCTCCTCCTCCTCTTCCTCCTCTTCCTCCTCCTCCCCCTCCTCTCCCTTCTCCTCCCCCTCCTCTCCCTTTTACTCCTCTCCCTCCTCCTCTCCCATCTCCTCCTCCTCTCCCTTCTAAGCCTCTCCCTCCTCTCCCTAGTCCTCCTCTTCCTCCCCTTCCTCTCTCACTCCCACTCCCACCACGTCCGCGACCTCCGCCATCATTCTGATTCTGATTTTGATTCTGTTGTTGATTGTGATTCTGATCTTGTTTTTTATTCTGATTCTGATTCTGTTTTTTATTCTGATTCTGTTTTTTATTCTAATTCTGCTTTTGATTCTGATTCTGATTTTGATTCTGACTCTGTTTCTGATTATCAGACTGCCGGCCTCCTCTACCTCCAAAATTTCCCCGTCCACCATGATTCCGGCCTCGCCCCCTGCTGCCTCCTTTAGCGGAGCCGAACTGGTGATCCATGCCTCTCAACAAATTAGTTGAGTGATTGGATTCCAACGCAGGACAGTCTGCTCTAATAAGAGTGCTTCAGCGGCACAAAAGAGTTCCTCTGGTTGGGTGTATCAGGTCCGACCTGGGACATTCTGCTCTAGGAGAGTGTTTTCAGGTCCCACGCAGGACAGTCTTCTCTGGTATACTTCAGCGGCACAGGACGGATCTAAAAAAAATGTTCGCTCTTGATCAATAGACCCACAAATAGCAGCTGGCTGTGCCAATGAGCAGATTCAGCCACTCGATCCAGGGTGGTCAATTCTCTCACCAGCAGCACAGACCCACCAGCAACAGCTAGCTGTTCCAATGAATTGATGTGACGGAATCTCGTTGTGAATGGGGTGAACTATCACTGATGGTCACTGAAAGCACAGCCCCATCAGCATCAGGAAAGCTGCACAATTGGGCTCCTTTTCAAGCCCAAACTGCTCCATATGAGGTACAATTTTGGTGCAGAATTGGTCCTTTCACACACCTGCACCCACCAGCACTAGCAGTGCCAGTCAGCTGTGAGCTGATGCGATGTGAACCACATCTGTTCCAGATAGAGGAAGAGCACATCTGTTGTGTTCCTCGACAGCATCCGTCGATATCAAGCGAATCGACGGATGTCCGGCGTTTGAGATGTCACGCTCCGCGCTTGTGTGACCTCCAACATGCGGGAAACCAGGTGCGTGTACCCTAGAACGATTACATGCAGTGAAAGAAGTGCCCCAAATCTGACATCGCTGAATTCCCCGTTTTCTGCTCGTTTTCCTGCCCACACGTACTTTTGACATCCCTCGAGATCTCCAAGACATCGGGGATGTCGAGGCTGGGTGTCGAGGTGTCAAAGGCCCTTTGAGCGTAGACCTCTCGGAAAACACCCAAACGAGATCCGTCCTCTTCCGTCAAAACCCGTCATAACCTCCCATCTAACTTCAGACATGTTGCAGAACTGGCAAACAAAACGACAGGCTTTGGGATCTCCTTCTCACGCCTAGATTATCCCGCCGTTTCCCATGCTTGGCTCACGCCTTCTTCACGCCTTGCATTTTCCCAGTCAGTTTGCCGTATCGTGTGCTGATCAGTTACCGCTGGCGGTTGCGACACCTTTTCATCTACAAGCAGCTCCCTTCAAATTCTAATTTTCCTAAGCCGAATCAAACATATACTTCGTGGATGTAGAGCCTTGCCATACTTATCTCTGTGTTGATTAAGAATATACTTAGCATGTACAACATCCAGTCATAACCAGGGCTCCAGATTGGTTTTGGGCCACCCTTAGTAATCAGGGTTCTAGGTATAGTCAACCCTGATGCGTAGGGTAACTTTTTTGTTTGCCTGACAAATGCAGGGTAAAACAAATGTTGCTCTGTTTGGCCAGGGTGTTTTGTGAAAACATATAATAAAATCGGACAGATCAGCAGTTAGTGGTGTTAAACAGGCTAGGCGAAAACGAGAAATAGGCAAAGAGGGGTTTTCACTAACAAGCATAGGGATACATATAGCAAATTCTAGAAGGGCTGTACTCACTATAGAGTACCCCACTGCAGGCTAGACAAACATCACATTCTGACACACCCCCATAGTCAAAGTGGGGTACAATCAACACAGCAAACAGGCAGAGCAGTAGGTTCATAAATAAAAGCAAAGCTAGAGGCTATCACAGAGGGCAAGTGAGGAGGAGGAGAAACTGTGGAGGCGAGAAGATGGGAGGCGACGGCTGAAGCTGCAGACACACGGGCAACAGGAGTGCGCCGCACTGTCGCTACCAGGCTAAACCCGGACTACACGGCGACAGGGGGTCGCAGCTGGCTCGCTGTGCTCCCAGGAGTGCACACACTGTGGCTACCGGGCGCAGAGCCCCGGACTACACGGCCACAGGGGGTCGTGGCTCTCTGGACTACCAGGAGTGCTCACACTGTGGCTACCGGGCGCAGAGCCCCGGACTACACGGCCACAGGGGGTCGTGGCTCTCTGGACTTCAGGCGCTGCGGACGACAAGTCGACGACCTCCACTCAACTTCCCCCAGCTGTCCCACCCCCTTTTCACACACCCCCTTGCTGCACCCCTAGCTCCACTCTCACTACACCCCCCTAGCACCACTCCTTCGGCTCCCACACACCCACCCCCCTCAGCGGCAGCTGCAGCAGTGGGAGACGGAGAAGGAGGAGGAGCAGGGGATGGCGCACACACACCCGGCACCCCCATACCCGCCACCCCCAAACCCTAAACGCAGGCGGCGCGTAGGGGCGGCGTGCGAGCGGAAGGGGGGCGGGGCGCGGGTCCCTGGGGAACTGCTACGGGCGCCGGGTAGGGCGGCTCGCGGGCCCCCAGGGCGCCTCGACGGGCGACGGGAGGGGGCGACGCGCGGGCCCCCAGGGCGCCGCGACGGGCGACGGGGGGGGAAGGGGTGACGCGCGGGCCCCCAGGGCGCCGCGACGAGGCGACGGGATAGGGCGGCCCGCGGGCCCCCAGGGCGCCGCGACGGGCGACGGGAAGGGGAGGCGACGCGCGGGCCTGCGGGGCGACGCGACGGGCTCCTGGGGGCGACGTGACGGGCCTGCGGGGCGACGCGACGGGCTCCTGGGGGCGACGCGACGGGCTTGCGGGGCGACGCGACGGGCTCCTGGGGGCGACGCCACGGTCGACGGGGCAGAAAACCGCCGCGCGCCTCGGGGCGCACGGCGGGCAGAAAACCGCCGCGCGTTCGGGGCGCGCGGCGAGCAGAAAACCGCCACGCGCCCCGAGCGCGTGGCGGGAAGAAAAATCCGTCGCGCGCCACGGGGCGCGCGACACACAGAACAGCAGCGGAAGCTAACGGGCGGGACCACCCACAGGATCGACCCAGGAGGGTCGACCTGCTCTGATAGCATGTTAAACAGGCTAAGCGAAAAAAGAGAAATAGGCAAAGAGGGGTTTTCACTAACAAGCATAGGGATACATATAGCAAACCCTAGAAGGGCTGTACTCGCTATAGAGTACCCCACTGCAGGCTAGACAAACATCACATTCTGACAAGTGGTTCAGTTGATTCGATAACAGATTGTGTCATATGGTTGCAGGTTCGAATCTTCCAAGTGGTAAGTGTTTTGTAGGGGCCCGAATGATCGTTGGTCTCGCTACGGAGCTTTCGGTATCGTTCTATCTGGGATTGTACAGTGTTACAGTCAGAGAAATATGTTCCTTACGCTGTTTTTCAAAGGGTACAAAAAAACTTACACTTTCTGGCCTAGGGTAAAAAATCCACTACCCTGCCTGTGAAAGGGTAACTGAAAAAAAGCGGCCGCCAGTCAGTGCAAAAAGGGTATTTTACCCTGATAACGAGAGGCCTGGTCATAACTGGTAGGTAGGAAAGTGAGCTAGTTTCGCTAGCTGTTCCTTCCTTATCCTCTCTGCGGAAGCTGGAAGGCCAAAGATATGACATCCCAGATGGATATGAGATTTACCCTCCACGTTAGAGGAACCTCCGCGTTGTTGAACCTGTTAGGCTATTATTGTACACATATATATTTGGGTATCTACTTTGTCGGCTAAGTTGGGTTGCATTATAGGGGGTACGGGATGTTATATGTAGGTGGAGGAGATGATACAAAGCCTCTGGTTAGGTTTTGAGCTACTCTTTCGTGTTAGGCCAATATCCCGCTTTCACTTTTTCTGTAAGGGTGCATCACAAAAGTACTCTTTGTTAGTAAGGGTGCAATTTTTTTCCTAAAATATTTTTACTCTTCCATGTTGAGTTGGTGTTTTTGAATTTAATTGAAGAATTTGTGCGCGGAGGACTCGAGTTCAATACCTAATGTATGCACCTCTTTTTACGCGAGTAATCATACCATGCT